CAGTAGCTAAGATGGGGAGAAGTCTGTCCATAATAAAGCGCTGTTCTACCTTCTTAACAGCACTATCAACAAGGCAGGTCCTACAGGCCCTAGTTTTGTCACACCTGGACTACTGTTCAGACATGTGGTCAGGTGCTACAAAAAAGGATTTAGGAAAATTGCAATTGGCTCAGAACAGGGCAGCACGGCTAGCCCTTGGATGTACACAGAGAGCTAATACTATTAATATGCATGTCAATCTCTCCTGGCTCAAAGTGGAGGAGAGATTGACTTCATCACTACTTGTATTTATGAGAGGTATTGACATGTTGAATGCACCGAGCTGTCTGTTTGAACTACTGGCGCACAGCTCGGTCACCCATGCATACCCCACAAGACATGCCACCAGAGGTCTCTTCACAGTCCCCAAGTCCAGAACAGACTATGAGAGGAGCACAGTACTACATAGAGCCATGACTACATGGAACTCTATTCCACATCAGGTAACTGATGCAAGTAGTAAAATTAGATTTTAAAAAACAGCGGGGACTGTGAAGCAACACAAACATAGGCGCAGACACATGCATACACACACACACACACACACACAATAACATACACACTATACACACACATGGATTTTGTATTGTAGATATGTGGTAGTGGTGGAGTAGGGGCCTGAGGGCACACAGTGTGTTGTGAAATCTGTGAATGTATTGTAATGTTTTTTTAAATTGTATGAACTGGCTTAATTTTGCTGGACCCCAGGAAGAGTAGCTGCTGCTAATGGGGAACCATAATAAATACAAATCCAAATCCAACGATGACTATTTTCTCAGATTTCTCTGTTTGCGCTTTGCAGTTGATAACCAATGCAATAAACGCTACAAAGTCCACCTTCTTAACATGCAACATGTCAGGATCCCTCTGTTGACAAATAATATTAACTGGTGTCTCTCCTCCTACTACCATTATTTATTCAACGTCACTCCTTTCTTCCACTCTTCTCACCTCCTCCAGAGAGGAGACATGGTGGACAGCCCTTATTCTTGCTAACTCTTGTCTCCTTCACCCTAACACGACACTTCAGAAATTCGGGCACATGTTCGCCACCACAATTGCAGCATTAGGCTCAGCTGGCATACGATACCCCTCCGTCTACATACACTTGACCAAATCATTCTGCCTTCATCACACTGCATGGGTTTGGGCATGAAGGCTCTTACAGGATATTTCACAAAACCTAAATACACGTGAGAAGGGAGAAACTCTTCTTCAAAAAACAATAGAATGGTTAGAGTGGGTTTCTCCCGAGTGGCGCAGTGGTCTAAGGCACTGCATCGCAGTGCCACTAGAGATCCTGGTTCGAATCCAGGTTCTGTCGTAGCTGTCAGCGACCGGGAGACCCATGGGGCGGCGCACAATTGGCCCAGCGTCATCCAGGGTAGGGGAGGGAATGGCCGGCAGGGATGTAGCTCAGTTGGTAGAGCATGGCGTTTGCAACGCCAGGGTTGTGGGTTCGATTCCCACGGGGGGCCAGTATGAAAAAAAGAATAAAAAAAGAATAATGTATGCACTAACTGTAAGTCGCTCTGGATAAGAGCGTCTGCTAAATGACTAAAGTAAAAGTAAGTTTCCTCACTCCATCCACCATGCGGGTCAGTCGGTGTGCACCAACCATTTGATCCAATTATTCATGTATTTCCTTTGCATTCACTTGTAGTGCCACCCCAGAGATAACCCCCTTGATAGGCGCCCTGCTTCGAGGAGCCACACACGACACATTCCAATCGGACATCTCCTTGAGGCGCAGAGCACGCTCCTTCTGTTCCACAGATGCACAGAAAACCAAAATAAGACCACTTCTCGTTACGCTCACCGACGCACCCACGATTTTCATAGACTTCAAACGGATCTCCCAGGTAACTCCATTGATCCAAAAGCCTCACTCCAACCCCAAAAGAATCAGAACTAGGATTGGATTTATTAGATTCCGCTACCACTTTACTTCTCTTGTTTATTTTTGTAATCCAATTCCTCTCACTCTCATCTCCACTCCACGCACCATCTGCTTCAAACAGAACATCCGCTTCAGCCATTTTCCTTCCCTCGTCCACCCGCTTGTGTTTTAGTAGTCCTACTGTATTTTAAGTTTAATAATGAAAAAGTATCTGATTCTAATTTAGGGTTATTTTATAGACCTTGTAGAACTGTAGTGTTTTGGATTTGTGTCGAGTTTGGGGATTTGTTTAGGTCATGCATAGTCTAAAGTAAGACATGGCCAGTTTCCCAGACACAGATTTAGTCTAGTCTTGGGACTAAGAAGAATCGCCATTGAACATGCTTTTTAGTCTAGAGATCTAGGCTTATTCTGTGTCTGGGAAACAGCCATATGGGTACAGCATTGACACACTCACACATTAACCAAACAAAGCTGCGAAAAATCCACTTGAACGCTCCCCCCACCTGTGGGACACTCGTCTATCATCTTTGAGCTCCGACTTCTCCCACATGCTGAACTCTGACGTCACATACAAAGGAAATTACCTTGATAACAACATTTTCGGCAGTTAAATACCACACAAAAAACAAATACAATCTATTAATTTGTATACGAGCATCATATCTGTACTTTTATGATTGTTGCAGCTTGTTTGCCATTAACTAATCGGCGTTCTCAACGATTTCAATGCACGTGAACGCACACAACTCGTTGCTTCCAGTTCACAAGTATTTTCGGAGTTTCCCACTTGTTATGCAAGCAGCATAACCTGTGGGCACTGACTGGCCTCGTCTACTGATTGAGTCCGTCTATCAGCGCAGCCGATGTCCCCGTATAGCGCGGGTCTGTACCTGCTCTACTTACTCATTGCTAGCTCTGTCCTGAAGAACCACTGCGCTCACTGGGAGTCTGGGCTGCATCACATTTTTACATTTTAGTCATTTAGCAGACGCTCTTATCCAGAGCGATTTACAGTTAGTGAGTGCATTCATTTTTTCATACTGGCCCCCCGTGGGAATCGAACCCACAACCCTGGCGTTGCAAGCGCCATGCTCTACCAACTGAGCTACACGGGGCTGTACAGAAGTTAACACTTGAATAATGCAAAAAACGGCAACAATGTCCATTACAGGCTAGAACACTTTTGCAAGAAGACACCGGTAGCTTCCAACTCTGTAGGTTAACTTTCCATGCTGGCTTACAGTTAAAGCTTTATCAATAGGTCTACACATTGTAGCCTAGTCTAGTAAATTGACCGTGTGTGTTAGGGTGACCGTCCCGTTTTTTTCCGGGGACAGTTTCAACCCCATTTCAGGTGTTCCAACTTTTCAGGCTACAAAAAAAAGGTCAATTTGTCAGTAATCACACGCATCAATTAATCTAGGCTTAATCAATGGCAATTGACGAATGTCATTAGGCACACTTTGGTGTTTTGTAAACAGATGTCTATTTCCATTAATCAAATGGCGCAAGTGTACATGCATTGCACTGTTTGGATTAATTTGTAGTGGGTGAACATGCACAGGTAGCCTACTTTTTGAAGTGATTTGTTTTACAATCAGATGAAAGCATTATGACTGGTTGTATTTATGCCACATTAAAATATTATTCATTTTTAGGCCCGTAAAAAATGTTCGTCAAGATACCCCCGAATATCACGGTGTAGTTCGCACTATCATCAATTCACTACCCTAGCACCTTGTTTGCAAACCATAACGCTAAAATATTACTGATTTCAAAACTGAAAGTCATCCAAATCTTTATTCATCACATCTTTCCCAGTCAAGAACATCTTTGCTCGAGCCCCGAACTTCAGTGGTGGAGTTCATTTTTTCATGGCGCGGTGCCCCGGGTGATTGGAGAGTTCACTTAAGGACCAATGGAATGGTCTAAATGGTTATTAAATTAGATATTTCTTCTTCTATACAATGTTGATCCCGTACAATAAAATGAGTCCCAAATTGAAGGGGAACAGATTGTTTTCCATGAAATCAGCCAAAACAAGCTCAATAACTCAATGCGTGCACACACTACTATTGAATATGCATTTATCTGTATTGTAGCCGGCCGCGACCGGGAGACCCATGGGGCGGCGCACAATTGGCCCAGCGTCGTCCAGGGTAGGGGAGGGAATGGCCGGCAGGGATGTAGCTCAGTTGGTAGAGCATGGCGTTTGCAACGCCAGGGTTGTGGGTTCGATTCCCGGGGGGGGGGATAAGAGCGTCTGGATAAGAGCGTCTGCTAAATAACTAAAATGTAAATAGGCCTAGGCTACATTTTGATTTACTCAGTTTATCAATAGACTAGAGACTTACCATTCAAATAAATTATTATTGTTATGTAGTTAGATTGGTTAAAAAAAAAAGTCACATTGGTTGTATTGTTGACTCATTAATGCATACATAAAAAATCGATCATTTCTAATGTAATGATATTGCACTCAAAAGATCTGTCTGGATCAAGTGCCATTCTGTGACGTTGGCTAATACGCCTTCTGTTGTTCCCTTGGTATCGTGATGGTATCAAGTATTACGATATTAAATCTGGTACTGTTATCAAAGTCAAAATTCTGCTAAGGTGACAACACTAATGCTTATACACAGTGCAGTAGGCCTATTGAGCGAAAATACAAAAACAGAGACTGGAGGTGAGCGAAGACTAAGTGTCGTTAAGCCAGGTTTCATGTCTCTTCTTCATGCTCTCAAATAGAGCAGTAGTTTTGGTTTGGGATTATCCAAAGGACACCATTGCCACCAGGTGTTCATAAAGTGTAACAACCGCCTTACATTTATTATGTTTTTTTTTGAACACATTTGATACTTATACAACACAACTCAGTTAAGCATAACAATCATTCATTCAACAAGAATCCAACACATATTTACATTTACATATAAGCAGCAAACAAAAGAATATATATGTATTTACAATTCATATCACCTTTGACCTTTCATAGCCAAAGCTACAGTTACCACCTTTGTATGACAAACTCTTCAGCTGTTATTATTGGTCATTCACATCGTGTAATTGGTGCATCGTTGCAACTTTGTTTTGGTGCATTGTTGGAAGATGACTTTTTTCTGGGTGTATCGCAGTATGGTACGTTTTCCAGAAGAAGGCTCTCTCTAGGTCGGAGTTCTGTGAAATGAAAGACACAGAAAACACTAGAGGCTACATTTGAAAAATAAACACCTGTGGGCATAGCCTATAACCCCTATTCATATCATTCTTATATGACTGCTGTAATTGTTGTGTTTCTCATTACCCAATGTGCCCAAAAAAATATAGCAAAATGTTTTCAATTTCTTGGTGTATTAGACTTGATTGTTTAAAGAAAATAACTTACGAATCCTATCTTCAGCTACATGCTCAGCTTGTATGACATCTTGACGAAGAAACACTTCCACACCAGCGGCCATTTTAATCATCTGGAAAAATACAGTAGAAATATGAACAACAATATCTCTATTGTGCTGTCTCTAGACACATAGAAAAATGAAGCAGTTCACATACCAGTTATCAATATGTATGCTGGATATGTAGACTAAGCTTAAAACCAAGAGTGCTAGGTTATATCACCGACAAGACTCACTTTCCTGATGAATGAATGCAAAGCCTACTATACCTGATTTATGTTTTCCTCCAAAGTCTCATTTTTGTTTTTCCTGAATTCCTCATTTATCTTTTGTCTTGCCGCTTTAGGGGGTTGAAAAAAAAGCTCATTAGGTCAAACAGCTGTTACAGTCACTGCTACTACATATATTGTATAGTCAGTCCCTCCAGGATTTCGCAGGGATTTTTTGTGATATTTGCAGGGGAAAACGCTTGATTTTGCAGCAGCAATTCTGACATTTTGCACTGCAATATGCAACGATTTTGTCCAATTTGTCATGAAAATGCACTGACGAGGGAAAGAGTTTGTTGACATGTGGTTTGATTGAACCATTTTATGCAGTAAATGTGTGGTGATTGGTTGAAATTGCGAGCCCTCTTGTACTGCGGTGATGGGTCAGTTTTATGCGATAATATTGCGATGACTTTACTGTTTTATGCAAAAATAATGCGCTGATTGGTCAAATTTGCAAGCCCTCGCATAATATGCAGGAAATTGTTGATTTAGCAAAAAAATGTAGGATCACAGAATACTGCAAGGACTGTAAAGTGCATGGGTTGGCAACAGGCATGATTTTCTTTGGTAAAAAAAGACTAAAATCACCAGGAATTCAGCTAAAAATGTGTTTAATTTAGGAAACCTGTTCCCAAGTACTCCCACAAATAAAAAAAAAGAGACGTGATCATGCCTCAATTTAATCAAGGTACTTTTTAGGCTTAGTTGTGGTCAATTTGCAACTTACTAATTATTATAATTATTTTCCATCCACCCAACCTTTCGCTCCGACGAAAATTGGTCAGCGGCTTAATCTAGTTGCCTACTCCTGGTATTATGCTAGCCTTCATCAATAACATTGTTTCTCATTAAACATTAGTCAATTCACACACTATTGATTTAGCTACATACAATTACATTTTCTTCTAGTCCAGTGTTTCTTAATCCTGGTCCTGGGGCCTAAAGCCAGGGTGCACAGTTAGTTTTTGCACTAGTTCACGAGAACCCAAGGGGGCCCACAGCTTCCTCCTCTTGGGTTCTCAGCTGAAGGTCTGACTACATGTGGCCCACAGCTTCCTCCTCTTGGGTTCTCAGCTGAAGGTCTGGCTCCATGTGGCCCACAGCTTCCTCCTCTTGGGTTCTCAGCTGAAGGTCTGACTCCATGTGTCCCACAGCTTCCTCCTCTTGGGTTCTCAGCTGAAGGTCTGACTCCATGTGGCCCACAGCTTCCTCCTCTTGGGTTCTCAGCTGAAGGTCTGACTCCATGTGGCCCACAGCTTCCTCCTCTTGGGTTCTCAGCTGAAGGTCTGACTCCATGTGGCCCACAGCTTCCTCCTCTTGGGTTCTCAGCTGAAGGTCTGACTCCATGTGGCCCACAGCTTCCTCCTCTTGGGTTCTCAGCTGAAGGTCTGACTCCATGTGTCCCACAGCTTCCTCCTCTTGGGTTCTCAGCTGAAGGTCTGACTCCATGTGGCCCACAGCTTCCTCCTCTTGGGTTCTCAGCTGAAGGTCTGACTCCATGTGGCCCACAGCTTCCTCCTCTTGGGTTCTCAGCTGAAGGTCTGGCTCCATGTGGCCCACAGCTTCCTCCTCTTGGGTTCTCAGCTGAAGGTCTGGCTCCATGTGGCCCACAGCTTCCTCCTCTTGGGTTCTCAGCTGAAGGTCTGACTCCATGTGGCCCACAGCTTCCTCCTCTTGGGTTCTCAGCTGAAGGTCTGGCTCCATGTGGCCCACAGCTTCCTCCTCTTGGGTTCTCAGCTGAAGGTCTGGCTCCATGTGGCCCACAGCTTCCTCCTCTTGGGTTCTCAGCTGAAGGTCTGACTCCATGTGGCCCACAGCTTCCTCCTCTTGGGTTCTCAGCTGAAGGTCTGACTCCATGTGGCCCACAGCTTCCTCCTCTTGGGTTCTCAGCTGAAGGTCTGACTCCATGTGTCCCACAGCTTCCTCCTCTTGGGTTCTCAGCTGAAGGTCTGACTCCATGTGGCCCACAGCTTCCTCCTCTTGGGTTCTCAGCTGAAGGTCTGACTCCATGTGGCCCACAGCTTCCTCCTCTTGGGTTCTCAGCTGAAGGTCTGACTCCATGTGGCCCACAGCTTCCTCCTCTTGGGTTCTCAGCTGAAGGTCTGACTCCATGTGGCCCACAGCTTCCTCCTCTTGGGTTCTCAGCTGAAGGTCTGGCTCCATGTGGCCCACAGCTTCCTCCTCTTGGGTTCTCAGCTGAAGGTATGGACCACAGCTTCCTCCTCTTGGGTTCTCAGCTGAAGGTATGGCCCACAGCTTCCTCCTCTTGGGTTCTCAGCTGAAGGTCTGGACCACAGCTGGCTCCATGTGAACTACAATCCCAACGCTAATTTAGAAACTTTAATAATCCTCCATCGCGATACGGTTTTGAAAACATAAAGCTCTCTACTTTCACAAATGCAAAATATACACTTACTGTTCACTGTTTTAAGCTATTTTAAACACAGTTGCAGCAGACAGTATTTTTCAGTGACAACACTATTCTGCCGTGCTTCTTTGGACACGCTTCAATAGCTAATTAGAACAGGTGGTTGCCTCAGTCTTACATAAACGGGCGCTGTAACATGGAGATATGGCTATGTGGGCACCCTAACCTTAACCCTATAAAGGTGTACAGTAATTTAACTTTAAATTATTCTTATTTTTCGCTGATGTGAAAGTTAAGTTCCAAGTTTTTCCAAAACCTTATCGAAAGCAAGGCGTATTGACGTAGACAAAGCTTCGGGACAGCATAGGAGCGTTGGTGCATTTGCCTCGGGCGGCAGACAGGTTTGTGAATAGACGATATACACTGACTATACCAAACATTAGGAAAACCTTCCTAATATTGAGTTGCACCCCCTTTTGCCCTCAGAACAGCCTCAATTCGTCGGGGCAAGAACTCTACAACGCGTCGAAAGCATTCCACAGGGATGCTGGCCCATATTGACTCCAATGCTTCCCACAGTTGTGTCAACTTGGCTGGATGTTCTTTTGGTAGTGGACCATTCTTGATACAGACGGGAAACTGTTGAGCGTTACAAACCCAGCAGTGTTGCAGTTCTTGACACAAACTGGTGCTCCTGGCACCTACTACCACGTCCCGTTCAAAGGCACGTAAATATTTTGTCTTGCCCATTCACCCTCTGAATGGCACACATACACAGTCCATGTCTCAATTGTCTCAAGGCTTAAAAATCCTTCTTTAACCTGTATCCTCCCCTTCATCTACACTGATTGAAGTGGATTTAACAAGTGAGATCAATAAGGTATCATGGCTTTCACCTGGATGCACCTGGTCAGTCTGTCATGGAAAGAGCAGGAGTTCTTAATGTTTTCTATACTCAAGTGTATGTTTAACATTACCATCTATCTAGCACTACACAACTGATTCCACTTATTAAAGCTAATCAACTGTCTACTATCTAGCTACTCATTTGATAATAGTTAACTACCTGTCAATGCTCTGTTATCTTCTTTGAACACATCCATCCTTGTTCTGTGCAGTGCTTTGAACACTCCGAGGACCTATGTAAAGAAACAAGGAAACAACCTTTAACATACAACCATCTCTATTGCACTACAATAACACTACAAGCAATGATTCATTACCTTCTTGATGGCCTAGCCAAGGACTAGGTAAGTTAGCTAGCTAGCTAAATAGTTAGACAGCTAATATAGCCAGCTAGGCTAGTTTCCTAGCTAGCTCAAATACTGAAATATGTGAGCTGGTTTATCTTATACAGATATCCAGACGAGCAAAAATTATTATTTTTATATTGTATACAGACGTATAGAAATATTTAGTAAAGCAACAATATCAAATGCTTTGGAAGCAATATATAGTACAAACATTTTAACGTTTTCACACTCACCTTCAAACGAGAAGCCATCTTGACTTTACAACTGTACGAACTCGACTGTAAGCACCACGCAATACAGTCACACTGCAGCGTCAGAGAGCGTATGAAATCATTAAGAGTGATAGAGGCCTCTAGTGGCCAAAAGGCCGACTTTGCATGGGCAGCGCCATTGAGGGCTTCCACCATTTTAAATGTGGTCAACTGGGTGGGAGTTCCAACTTCATTGACTGATCCCTCCTGTTGACCCTGTTGGAGCAGTAGTGGTGCGTGGGTAAAATCACTGGGGAAGCCAAGCCAGTAAAAAAGCCATATTACAACCTATGTTGTGATATTTGCGTTGTTTGCTCTATGACCGATTAATTCATAGGCCACCATGATATACAATAAAGCTGTGACAACAAAAAGACAACAGTCACACAGTGGCGGAATAAATTCAACTACACATACGTTTGTTTCATCACAAACCGGAGAGCAACATCTGTCTGGTGAAGTCCACAAAGCAAATATTGCACATAATAAACAGTTATATGACCTGCAGCATGGTCAAGCAAGTTAACGTTTGACAGTTTACTAAACAACCATTGATTTAGAACCACGGAGTTACCGCAAGTCAGCACAAAGACAACAGGAGCACTGCCTCCGCTATTCCAGCACCATTTCAACTTAAACATAATCAAATCAACAAGGCTATATATACTTAGTTTAATACACTGAAAACAAACTTAAAGATACCAAAAACAATTTAGTTCAATCAATGTTGCTAAATATCGTCTGTCCATAGTACAGATTTCTGTCTGTCTGTCTGTCTGTGTGTGTGTGTGTGTGTACCGTGCGTGCGTGCGCAAGTAAAAAATAAAATATTGACTCACCCTACATGTAGACTAGTTGAACACCAATGCCACCCTCCTCTCATTCAGGTTGGCAAAACGGTCTATGGCTCTGTCATACAGTACGCTTTTAGTTTTTGTTGTCATAGGCTACCTAGATAAAATGCTTGCTAGCCTGACTTCCTCGCATGGGCAAATATGAACCAGCTAAGTTAGCTAGCTAGCTAATGTGAGCCTATAATATAATAATAATAATATGCCATTTAGCAGACGCTTTTATCCAAAGCGACTTACAGTCGTGCGTGCATACATTTTTGTGTATGGGTGATCCCGGGGATCGAACCCACTACCTTGGCGTTACAAGCGCCGTGCTCTACCAGCTGAGCTACAGAGGACCAC